AGCTCCCCAAAGTCCACCGCATCATCCTGGGCTGGCCTAGGCCCTCCCCCATGTGTCCAGGCCAAGAGTGGATCCCTTCACGTGGGATGGGCTCTCAAAGTCATGAGGGGACTTTTTTGTGGTCTACTCTATTTGGTGTTCTGTAGGCTTGTTGTATTTTCATTGGCATGCCTTTCTTTAGGTTGGGTAAGTTTTCTTCTATGATTTTGTTGAATATGTTTACTGCACTTTTGAGTTGGTTTTTTCACCTTTTTCTATACCTATTATTCTTAGGTTTGGCCTTTTCATGGTTTGCCATCTTTCCTGGATATTTTGTGTTAGGGATTTGTTGGACTTAAGATTTTCTTTGGTCGATGAATCTATTTTTCTTGGTGTATCTTCAATGCCTGAGATTCTCTCTTCCATCTCTTGTAGTCTGTTGGTTATGCTTGCATCTATAGTTCCTGGTCATTTACCCATCTTTTCTAATTCCAGCATTCCCTCAGATTGTGTTTTATTTTTATTGTCTCTATTTCAGCTTTCAAACCTTGCACTGTTTGAATTGTTTCTAGCAATTTTTGGTTTGTCTTTTCTTCATTTCTTTAAAGGATTTTCTCATTTCCTTTTTAGGGTCTCTATCATCTTCATGAAGTTGTTTTTAAGGTCGTTCTCTTCTGCTTCATCTGTGTTGGGATGTTCAGGTCTTGCTGGTGTAGAGTCCCTAGACTCTGGTGGCATCATATTGGTTTTTCTGTTGTTGAATGTGCTCTCATATTGTCTTCTTCCCATCCCTTCTTCCAGTGGGTGCAGTTGGGGGTCTCTTCCTCTCCTGGTGGGTATGGGTCTAAATTTCTCTTCTGGTGGGTGTAAGCAGGTCCAATACTCAGATGGGTCTCACAGGGGGTGCAGGTGGGTCTGAGGTACTCCCTGTCTCAGTGGGTGGGAACTGGACTAGCACAGTGCTGTGAGCAGACTCCCGGTTTCTTTGTTCGCTTGAGGGTGAGTCCACCTGCCTGCAGTCCCCAGGCCAGGAGATCCCAGAGTGGTCAAGTAGAAATCGGGCCTGAGACAGGGGCCCACACTCACCTCTTTCCTGAGTGGGGGCAGTAGTAGCTCATCGATATCAGCACACTCACAGTTGCTTAGTCTGCTAGGGAAAATTCGACCTGCCTGCAGTACCCAGGCTAGGACATCCTAGAGCCAAACAAATTCTTAGCACAAAATATCCAGAAAATCTGGGACACCATGAAATGGGATAGAAGAAGAAGTCCAGTTCAAAGGCACAGAAAATATATTTAACAAAATCATAGAAGAAAACTTTCCCAACCTAAAGGACATACCTATGAAAGTACAAGAAGATGATAGAACACCAAAATAAAAAGTCCCGTCAACACAAAATAATCAAAACACTAAACGTAGAGAATAAAGAAAGAATATTAAGAGTTGCAAGGGAAAAAGACCAAGTAACATATAAATGCAGGTCCCAATTCTCAATGGAAACAATGAAAGCCAGAAGGTCCTGGTCAGGTGTTATGCTGATACTAAGAGACCCTCGATGCCAGTTCAGATTACTATATCCAGCAAAGCTTTCAATCACCACCTAGGGAGGAATCAAGATATTCCACCACAAAACTGGATTTAAATAATATCTATCCATAAATCCATCCCTACAGAAAATACTAGAAGGAAAACTAAAACCCAAGGAATTTAGCTACATCCACAAAAACACAGTCAGTAGATAATCTCACACCTTCTGGGATTATCTCTTTCCTATGAAGAGAAATGCACATACAATGCCATCACTAAGAAAAAAACACACCTTAAAATAACAGGAAATATTAATCATTGGCCATTATTATCCCTTAATATCAATGGTCTCAATGGATGAGCTAACAGATTGGATATGAAAAAGAATCCATCCTTCTGTTGCATATGAGAAACATACCTCAACTACAAAGACAGATATTACCTCAGAGTAAAGGGTTGGGAAAAGACTTTTCCAATCAAATGGACCCAAGAAGCAAGCTGGTATAGCTATCTTAATATCGAACAAAACACACTTCAAACTAAAATCAATAAAAATGTGAAGAAGAGCTTTTCATATTCATCACAGGAAAAATCCATCAAGATAAATTTCAGTCCTGAACATCTATGCCCTAAATAAGAGGACACTCTTATTTGTAAAAGATACAGTACTAAAGCTTAAATCAAACATCAAGCACCACAAACTAATAGTGGGGACCCCACTGTCACCCCTGGACAGGTCTGCCAGACAGAATCCTAACAGAGAAATAAAAGAAGTAGCAGATATTATGACTCAAGTGGGCCATTCCACCCAAACACAAAGGAATATTCCTTTTTCCCATGACCTCATGGAACTTTCTCTTAAATTGATCACATACTTGGTAACAAAGCAAACCTTAAAAGATATTAAAAAATTGAAAGAACCCCCTGTATCTTATCAGACCACCAAGGCTTAAAAGTTGGAATTCAACAACAACACTAACTGCATAAAGCCCTTAAACTTATGGAAATTGAACAATGCTCAACTGAATCACCACTGGGTCTAGGAAGAAATACAAGACTTCCTAAAATTCATTGAAAATGACAGCACAAAATACCAAACTTACAGAACATAATGAAAGCAGTGATTAGAGGAAAGATCATAGCACTGAATGCTTACATGAAGAAGCTAGGGAAATCCCACATTAACAAATGAATAGAATAACTGAAAGCTCTAGACAAATGAATCAAACCCTCACAGGAGAAGTAGATGTCTGAAAAGAATTAAATTGAGGGCTGAAATCAATAAAATAGAAACAAAGAAAACAGTACAAAGAATCAATGAGACAAGGAATTTGTTCTTCAAGAAAATCAACAAGATAGCAAAACCTTCATCCAAACTAACCAAAAGGCAGAGCTAGACTATCCACATTTACAAAATCAGAAATAAAAAGGGGGATATAAAAATAGACACTGAGGAAATCCAGTGAATCATCATTTCAAAAACCTGTACTCTACTAAATTGGAAAATTTAAAGGAAATGGAAAATTTCCTGGACAAGTACCACATACCAAAATTAAATCAAGACCAGATAAACACATTAAATAGACCTATAACCCCTATGGAAATATAAACAGTCATCAAAAGTCTCCCAACCAAAAAAGCCCAGGCTCAGATAGTTTCCGCACAGAATTCTACCAGAATTTCAAAGAAGACCTAATACCAATACTCATCAAAATTTTCCACACAATAGAAATAGAATGAACGTTGCAAAACTTTTTATGAGGCTACAGTTGCCCTGATACCTGAACCACACAAAGACACAACTGAGATAGAGAATTACAGCCCAATCTTCTCCATGAACATTGACTCAAAAAATTCAATAAAATTCTGACAAACCAAATCCAAGAACACATAAAAAATTATTCACCATGACCAAGTAGGTAGGCTTCATCTCAGAGATGCAGAAATGGTTCAACATAAGTAATTTCATCAATGTAATCCACCATATAAACAAACTGAAAGAAAAAAAAACACACATTAGATGCTGAAAAAGCCTTCAAAAATTTCAACACCCCTTCATGATAAATGTATTGGACAGATCAGGGATACAAAAAACATACATAAACATAATAAAGGCCATATACAGTAAGCAAACAGCCTACATCAAACTAAATGGAGAGAAACTCAATGCAATCCCATTGAAATCAGGAACAAGACAAGGCTGTCCACTCTCTTTATATCTATTCAATATTGTACTCCAAGTTTTAGCTAGAGCAATAAGACAACAAAAGGAGATCAAAGGGATATAAACTAGAAAAGTCAAACTTTCAGTATTTGGTGATGGTATGATAGTATACTTAAGTGACCCCCCCCCCAAAAAAAATCTACCAGGGAACCTGTACAACTGATACACACCTTCAGTAATGTAGCAGGATACAAGATTAACAACAACAACAACAACTCAAAATTAGTAGCCCTCCTATATACAGATGATAAATGGGCTGAGAAAGAAATCAGAGAAACATCACCCTTTACAACAGCCACAAATCATATAAAATATCTTGAGGTAACTATAACCAAACAAGTGAAAGACCTGTATGACAAGAACTTTAAGTCTTTGAAGAAAAAACTTTAAGAAGACAGCAGAAAATGGTCTCTCATGCTTTTGGATATGTAGGATTAATACAGTAAAAAAGCTATCTATCTATTTTGACAATTCTATCAAAAGCAGTCTACAGATTCAATCTAATACCATTCAAAATCCCAGCACAATTTTTCACTGAGCTTGAAAGGATAATAGTCAACTTCATATGGGAAGACAGAAAACCCAGAATAGCCAAAAAATTCTGTATAACCCTGTACAAAGGAACTTCTGGAGGCATCACCAACTCTGATTTCAAACTCTACTATAGAGCTACAGTAATGAAAACAGCTTGGTGTTGGCGTGAAAACAGACAGGTGGACCAATGGAACTGAATCGAAGATCTGGATATTAATTCACACACCCATGAATAGCCGGTGTTTGACAAAGAAGCTAAAAATATAAAATGGAAAAAAAGAAAGCTGGCATAACTGAATGTCAACATGCAGAAGAATGCAAATAGATCCATATCTATTGCCATGCACAAAACTCAAGTCAAAGTGAATCAAAGACCTCAACATAAAACCAACCACATTGAACCTAAAAAGAAGAGAAAGTGGGAGGTAGCTTTGAACATAAGTGTATACTAGACATAAACCTACTGAGTAAATTTGGAGCATGGGGAATAGGTTGTAGGGCGGAAGGGGAGAGGGGAAGGGGAATGGTGACAATGTATAGCTCAATAAAAATAAAAATAAATTTAAAAACAAGAAAAAGAATTGATTGAACTGGAAACTGAAGATTTACATACTTTATGTGCATAAATCATGGCATAAGATTTTTGAAAGGAGTTCTTAGGCTTTTTGTCTTTCCAGAAAGGTTTCTTGGCCTTTGGTTAGGAGCAGCAGTCCTACTAAGCACACAGCTTGATTCTGCTACAATTCCTTTCCCACAGGAGAAGCTCCAGGCTGCTCTGGAGATGCAGATGGCAAATGAGAAAATATGTGATGAATGGGAAGATGACCTGCAAAAGGAGAGAACTTTCTGGGAGGCAAGTGTGGACCCAAACTCCTAAGGGAGTTAGCATGATGCCTGGGTGGGACCTGGTCAAGAAGCTCCCTGAGTCTTCATTCCCTGGTAGTTAGTTGATGTGGAGCTGGGGCTGCACAGTGAGTGCATCACAAATGAGTCTGGCTGTGTGAGGATCTGACACCATGGAGGGACCCAGTGAGAATGGGCACTGAGTCCTGGGTCTTATTATGTGGTGTTTTCTAGAACTATGATTGTTAGGGAAGATGATTGGAAATAGTCACAGTTCTGTTCTTGCCGTTAGGCTAACTGAGGGCTTCAGAGGTTGAATGAGGAGTATTGCAGGCAGGAACAGCTGTGTTAACACTGAGCCACACCCAGGCATCCTGCTTTGGTGACCTAAGATCTTTGTTTTGGAATGTCATGAACAGACACTGAAAGGAGACACATGCTTCCCTTAGACTCCCTTCCTTTCCCAAGCTCAGTTCCCTGTGAGAAGTCCCCATCACAACAGTGGTTTTCTGTCCTCCAGTACCATCAGGACAGTGAATTCCTCTCCCTTTTCTTATTCATCAAGAACCAAATACAGAGTGATGTAGAAAATGTTCAGATGGCATTTAAAAGACTTCAGGAATTCCTGGACTTCAAGGAGAAGAGTGAGAAGCAGAAGCTGATGCAAGAGAAGGAAGATGTTATGAACAGCCTGGCAGAGTCTCAAAATGAGCTGATGAAGCAGAGGGAGGCAGTGAGAGACCTCATCTCAGATGTGGAGCATCAGTTGGACTGCTCAACCATGGAAATGCTGCAGGTAAGACTGCAGGATGCTCCAGCATCTGAGAGTCAGGAGACCTGGAAGCCACTTCCCTCCCTCTGTGTGGCTGTGATCTCCCTGTAAATGACAGTATGGCTCTCTGTGCCTTCCTGAACTGTTTCCTGAGCCAGTTTCAGAGGCTGGGGAGTCATTGCATGCATGGATGGCAGAGGAAATTGCATTATTTTTAGCTTATCAAGTACAGTACAGAAGCTGAACCTTGTAGAGAAGATGTGTTACATCATGGGTAGTTACTACCCTGCTATAATGCTGAGCATGTGTGAAGCACATTTTCAGCTGTCACTAGTCACTTCACCTGAATTTGAAAATAGTAGACACTGTTTCTCCCTTTGGATATTTGGAGACTTTCACCCCCACTGCCTCTGATTCCAGTGGTGTGGTCAGTGTGAGGGAAATTACCATCCAAGATCTCAGAAAGTTTGCCCTGCTTCCATGTTTGAGTTGCTGAGATGAATAGTGTCTTCTTTTATCCTTACATGTAAAAGTTTGTGTTGTATTTTATCTCTATCACATTTTTAAGTAATTTAAACCAAGGGCATATCCTGGTGATCAATATCTCTGTAGGAATTTGTTTCTTGTGTTTCAATTGTCAATGCTATAGACCTTGGTAGTTCTAGGAACTTTTAATACTCCCTTTATTGGTTGCCATTGTGTTGTTTTAATTATTATTGAGAATACTCATTTATCACCTATATTAGATGGAATTATACATATATGGCTAAACTAAGCCAGTTCACATAGTTACTAACTACAGCTACCATACTCTACAAGACTGAAATTATATCTCTTGACCAAAGAATCTGCCCATCATCCTCTGCCTCTAGCCCTTGTTGTCACAAATTCTAATCATTACTTTGTGAGATCAGTTTTTATACATGACATATATTTAAATAATTACTTAGTGTTGACTCTTCCTGTGCCCAGTTGGTTTAATATAACATAAATTTTTTGAGTTCAGCCATGTTACCACAAATGGCAATACTTCCTTCTTTGAATGTCCCATATTTTAACATATATGTGTAATTTGAAAAATAAAGGATCCAGAAACTGATATTGGGGTTTAAGCTTCAAGCTGAAGATCAGAGAATCAAAGCAGCCAAGCCAGGAGATGTTACCTTTACCCAGCTGAAATGGCAATCCTGTCTCCATGAATTCTCAGGGCCAAAAAGCTCTCAGATCTTGTCTCCTCCTCCTTATATTCCTTTCTCCTCCCAGCCATATTACTCCTGTTTCTACCTACCTAGTGCTGGGATTAAAAGTGTGTGATCCCATGTGCTGAGATCACCTTTGTGTCAGCTATTTTAGGACTGGAATAATTTTGTGTAGTCCATGAGGCCTTGAACAGAGATCTGTCTACCTCTTAATCTGAGGTCCTGGGATTAAATATTTATACCACCACCCCTAGCTCTATAGCTGCTGGGATTAAAGGTGTGTATCACCACTGCCTGATCTCTACAGTTTGCAGCTAACTTTGCTTTCTGAATCCTCAGGAAAGCTTTAGTAAATCATAAACAATATATCATCACCACATATATGCTTATCATATCATTTTTATCAATTTATCTGTTGATTAGTTCTTGGTGGATTCTATTTTTATCTACTGTGATAATGACTCAGTGGACATGACCATACAGATGTCTCTATGAGGACAAGTTTGAGCATCAGAATTCACCTATAACTTGCACAATTACTTCTCTCCATAATTCTTTTTACTATGGGATCTATTTTGTTGATTTACATTAAATAAAAATAAAGTCATATGTAGCCAAGCATCTACTACCCACGATCCCAGTACTTGAGAGCTTCTCACACATGGAAACAAAAACATGAGAAGCATACAACAATGGAAATGAAATAGAAGTTTCCCAACCTACAGCCAGGTGTATTGCCTCACTCTTTAATCCTAGCAGCTGGAATGCAGAAACAAATGAAACTACAAGTGTTTAAGACTAGCCTGGTCTATGTACTGAGTTCCAGGCCAAAAGGGTTACATAGTGAAACCCACAACTGGCCAAGTTGGAGAGAGTAACAGACTTCAGAATGTCAAGTTCTAAATGAAATCATATTGGGTTGGAGAGCTGGCTCAGTGGTTAAGATCACTGGCTGCTATTCCACAGGTTCTGAGTTCAATTCGCAGCAACCACATACCATGTTGTAGCTCAACACCATCTATAATGGGATCTGATGCTCTCTTCTGGCATGAAGTCATACATGAAGATAGAATACTCATACATTAAATAAATATTAAAATGGAATATATATACTCCACCTCTAATTTAAAGGCCCAGGGATCATTGCAGAAGAAGGGGCAGAAAGAGTGTAGGAGCCAGAGGTGATGAAGGTCTACAAGGACAACAGTGTCTTCTGGACACAGTAGCAGCACCTATGAACTGAGATTTGTTGTGACACCAAACCCAAGGCCTGTGCAAGCCTAAACCACACCAAATTTCACTATGTAAAGAGGATTTAGGAAGTCCAACCCCACCCAAGGAGCTCCCGGTAATTGTTGTTGTTAGGAGAAAAGTCACATTTATCTAAGAATTATGTAACTTTAGTTAAATCTACCAGTATCCAGGGGTAATCCACACACGTGAGAATACTTGCAGTCTTAGATGTCAAACTCAGGACAAATGGCTAACTGAAGTGCCTGCTTAACATATCAAAGTGGATCTGGTGGGTCAGGTCTTCAAAGCTTTCCCATATAAAAGATCCAAAACAATATTGGGAAGTTGAAGGATATTCATTAATATGAATGCATTTGCAAGTTAGACAAAGAGATAAAAAACAAACAAAAAACCTCTGTCTATCTTCAGTTTTCCTAAGTAAGATCAAAGTTTAAACAGAGAGTCCAGGGTATGCACACAAGAATAGTCCAGGTCAAGGTATGGTCCTGTCTTTCTTTCTTCCATCATCATCTTTGTTAGACTCCTTTTATAAGGTAGTCTGGCAAGTAATTAAAACTGTTTGAAATTTTTAGGAGACCAGCTCTCCCTCCAGCTAGATCTTCCTCCAAATCTGAGAATCCTGAAGAAATTGCCATTTTTGGTCATGCTCACAGTTTCAATGGTTTGTCAAATTGAGAGAACACATGTCTCTTTAGATTAACTTCTCTTCCTGAAAGGACAAGTGTAGAGAGAAGAATAAGAGGAAGGGAGAAATGATTAGCTGGGTTTTAAGTATCAGACAATCTAAGCTTCTGGTCCTTGTGGCTTCTTCATTACTAACATATAAAATTTTGTGTTAATGATTAAAATCATATGTAAATCAGCTTCTAATAATGTTAGTTGCAAGCAGGGTAATGGATAGCTAACATGTAGCAAGTGAAAAGTCATATGTTTACGTGTTTAGTAGTACATATGGCAAAACCTATGGAAGCTTTCAAACTATTGTTTTTTTTTTTTTCATCTTTGGTCTCCAAAGTCTTGTAGTATGAGACAGAAAATAGTCGATTAATTTACATGTAAGTCAAGTAAAGAGCCATGCATTGTATTTATATAAAGTCTTGGAGAACTATGGGGGTGACTGGCTTGCTTCTATTTTGACTTTGTCTCTGCTGTCAGTGAGAGCATGACCAGGATGTGCAAGAACATGCAGAACATGTTTTTAACTGTGTTTTTTCCCTCCTCCCTAGGGTGTGAATTCTGTCCTAACAAGGTATGTGTGGGCTGACAGAGAAGATTAGCCCTACTGTGTGGTGAGAATGATTTAGTGTCCAACTAGAATAAAAGCATCATGGGTTTGGGGTATTTAGACAAATGTTATTCTGAAGTTCCAGGGAGGAGGAGGAGGAAGTGGAGGAGGAGGAGGAGGAGGAGGAGAAGGAGGGGAAAGGCAGAGTCTGGCTCTTTTGTAACTCTTGAGAACAGATTTATTCTCCTTTAGGGGACTGGGTAATGGGGAGCCCCAGAGTTAGGCTCAGCAGTGGGATGAGGCACATGGAGCCACAGGTGCTTTCAGACTCCTTGTGGTTCCAGCATTCTCTCCACGCTGTGTGCTTGTGTCTGGCTCTGTCTGCAGTTAACAAGACTTGATTCATAGATTCATCCTAGCTAGGATGTGTTTTCCTTGTTTGCAATGTTCACAGAATTGCATATTGGGACAATTCCTGGGATCTGTGTGTTTCTCCTGGGGATGGAAAAATCCAGAGTTCCTTTGTTGTTGCATTTAGCATTTTCACAAACAGACTTGAGTCTGTGGGCACAGCTGTTCCCTGTGAGCCACATACTTCAGAAGACTGGAAAGCTGTGCCCTTGTATATAAAGAGTCACATCTAGGCTGTCGACATCAGGCGCATTCTGAACATGTTATTATTAATTGGGTGCTCCATCTTTGCCAAGATTGTCATCTTGAAAAAGAACTTGAAGATTCAGAAGCTGGAGAGAGTGACCATATTGACACAAGACTTTGAAATCTTCGCTGACTCCATATGGTTTTCTCACACTGCATGACTCTAATACTCAGGAGCAGTTTCTGCACCCAGACTTTACACTACTCTTGAAAATACACATTCCTTCCTTCCTTCCTTCCTTCCTTCCTTCCTTTCTTTCTTGCTTTCCTTCCTTGCTTTCTTTCCTTGCTTTCTTTCTTGCTTTCCTTCCTTGCCTTGACTTGCCTGGAACTCACTCTGTAGACCATGCTGGACTTGATCTCAGAGATTAACCTGCCCCTGCCCCTGCCCCTTAAGTGCAGGGAATAAAGTCTGTGACTTCATGCCTTGCCCAGACATTAATTTTTAGTTTGATTTGTTTTAGAATTTGCCAATTCATCATTTCTTAAGTGTTCTAAGAGGGAAGAAGTGAGATGAGGGATCAAGTAGTTTGACTGTACAAGTGAGGATTTCTACTCCTAAGAATTAAGGCTTTCCCAACATCACATAAGCAAGTAAGGGGGGTGTGAGTGTGTCTCCCATATCTATAGAATTAGTAGTCTACTTTCTCTTTACCTTCTCACTATTCTCTAGAAAGCTCCAGGACATCTATCATTAGAATGATAGGGAGTCATTTGTGGTCAACGTTACACTGTCTGAGATGTGGAGGGCAATCTTTTGTCCCTAGGAGTCAGACCTTAAGATTAAAACAGCCCAAAATGGTCCTAAGAGAAAAGAGAAGGATCTTCCAAGCTTCAGATCTGAAAGGCATGCTGGAAGTGTTTCATGGTGAGAATGGCTACATTATGTGGTTAACTGGGGGATTCTAGCTGTGGTTGGGGCTGCACTCTCTGGGAAGAGAGTGATTTTTCTGCACATGGGTAGAGGGACACAGAAGAGCACATAGTGTGTCCCAGTGATTTCATCATATTTAATGGAAATAATCATCCATCTGATCCTATATCACAATTTACAATCCTTTCCCTAATCTGCAGAGGAGATTGACTTTAATGTTTTGATTCCTTTGCTTGCTTGTAATGGTGTGAATTTTCATGATTTCAGAGCTCATGGATGCCCAACACTACTGGGGTAAGGAGAATTCACACCACTATATGCCACTCTCTTCTTAATGCCTTTCAGAATTAGTAGTCTACTTTCTCTTTACCTTCTCACTATTCTCTAGAAAGCTCCAGGACATCTATCATTAGAATGATAGGGAGTCATTTGTGGTCAACGTTACACTGTTATTTCTTTATCAAGCCTGATGTTTCATGCTACTTCTCCCAATATACACAGCAGTCTGCCTCTCCTTTACTTTAAACATGGCTCCTCCATCTATCATTAGAATGATAGGGAGTCATTTGTGGTCAACGTTACACTGTTATTTCTTTATCAAGCCTGATGTTTCATGCTACTTCTCCCAATATATGTTTCATGCTGCCTCTCCTTTACTTTAAACATGGCTCCTCCAAGTTCCTTCTCAGTTTCTTCTTAAGCTTCTGCTCCTTACATCACAAAAAAGGCTATACCTTGTCTCTCATGTGACTCTTAACTTACATGTCTCATTTTCTGCAGTTCATGTGACCCTGCCTCGAGTCTACAAGAAAAATGTTATCATTAATGTGGACAAAAAACAAATACAACATCAAAATAAGAATACAAGAAATAGAAGAATGTTTAGTATTTTTGGGACCTATGATTTAGGTGTCCTTGGATATCCAGCTATCCACTCAGGGAAACATTACTGGGAAGTAGACGTGTCTAGAAGTGATGCCTGGCTCCTGGGATTAAATGATGGAAGATGTGCTCAACCCCAACATCATGGATTGAATAAAAAACCCTTCAAAGTCATGTATAATTCTGTTGTTAAACATTGTGTATATTATCAGCCTAAACATGGCTACTGGGTTATAGGTAAGAAGAATAGGTCTGTATATAATGCCTTTGAAAATCGTTCTGTCACCCACAATGCCAGTGTCTTGGTCCTCTCTCTGACTCATCCTCCCAGTCGTGTTGGAGTTTTCCTGGACAGAGAAGCTTGCACTCTTTCATTTTATGATGTCTCCAACCACGGAGCTCTCATCTATAAATTCTGTGAACCTTCCTTCCCTAATACAGTTTATCCATATTTTAATCCTATGGAATCATCAGAGCCAATGACAGTCTGTGGACCACCCTCCTAAACCCTCATCTATATCTGCACAGTGCCCCCATGTATGGTATATCTCATTACATCTGAGCTCCGTGGAATCATTTCAACATTTTTTTTTTTTTGTATCTTTGGGTACAGAAAACCATGGGGTTGCCTTGGCCTAGATGCCTTGAGAAACATGTGCCATAGGTTTCTCAGGTTAGAGTCCCTGGCTCCTGGGGTACAATGTGAGACCTGAGAGACCAAAGGACTCTCTAAGGCAGTGTAGTATTCAGGCAATTTTAGGTTTCTCTGCATGTTCCCTTAGTCAAGGAAGCATGGAAGCTTCATAGGAAATTGGTCTTAGACAATAATCTTGTATATCCTGTATAGCTTGCAAATTTCACTGTATCCTGGCAACTGCAACTGTATTGATCTTGGAAATTACCATTATATACTGTTCCTGATAAAGGTATAAAAAGTCTGATTGCGCTCAATAAAATTGTCACAGTCTCAGTCTTGCTCTGGCCCCTCCAACTTGAGTGTGGTTTCATTCCTTGCAGCTATTATCAGGTGACCTTGGGCAGTAAGTAAGCACTGGCACTTACATTTGGTCTGTCTATTTAATAATCTTCATTCCGCAATACAAACCAGTATGGATTTTTTCCTTCATCTAGTTGTCTGTCTGTTTACAGAGCAATAGTAATTCATCATCTCTCACATTCCCAAAGAAAGTGCTATTTTCCTCATTAGGTGAAGTAAAACCTCTGCTACCCTCCACTTCCTGTTTTGTGGTACCACAGATGGAAGCCAGGGCCTTGTGAATGCTGAGCAGGTGCTCTGCCACTAAGTTACTTGTCTCAGCTCTGCCATGTTTCCACAACCCCATTCCTCTGTCACTGACAAAAGATGAAAGAAAATTTTTCTGCAGCTCATCTGTTGGTTTTTGAAAATATATGTAGGCATTGCTAGCCTATGAATGAGTCCTTAGTTGTGGGAGCATTCCCACTGGGCTATACCTGGTGTGGCTCCAGAGTGTGAGCACCTAGCCCTCATCCATCTTTTGTTTAGCAGATACCTTTTCCCCCCTGTTGCCCTATATGTGATTCTTACTTGAGAATTTCCCAAGGATACAAAGCCTATGCAAAACTTGGTTGGGGTAATCCCAGAAAACTGTGGTACATCCAGAGTGGAGAATTTGCAGTTGGTGTTGTCCCTTTGGAAGCTTCATCAGGTTGTTTTGAGGATATGGAAATCAACTTGCTAAGGTGTAAAATTTGAGAACAATAAAAAGAAGCCCTGGGCAAAAGGAAAGTGGTTCAGTTCTTAAAAGCTGAATCCACCCTGTGGCAGAGAAAGGCTATAGTCAGTCTTGAGATGCCTTTGAGTCTTATTTCCATGGACCTGTGTGAACCCAATACCTGTGCTGCAACACTTACTGCTAGTTTAACCATAATGCTTATGCTTTAAAACTTAAGAAGGAAACATCTCCAATGGTACCCACTCTAATACTCCCACTAAGACTGTGTGTTCTTAAGTACTGGGTTCTAATCCTGCCACTCCACATAGCCATGTCACTCTGCATAACATCCCCAAAAGCCTATGCTTCGTGGGGGTTTTGTTTTGTTTGTTGTTATTTTATTTTTTACAATTTTACTATAAAGATTTCACACACACTGTAGGTCAGTGTCAGAAAATAAATTTGAAATGTGTTAGAAGGCTCTGAGTATCCAATCCCAGCAACCTGAGTTCAGTCACTTAAACCATCTGGTAGAAGGAGGCAGATAACTCCTACAGATTAACCTCTATGTTCAAACACATGCTCCAGTAGACACAGGCCTAGACACATACACAAATGTAAAATGAATTATGTCATTTTCATAAAAGAGGAAGTTCAATGTATATCAGCCATTCATTGAACACTCAGAAGATGGTTGTTCTGTTAATTTGGGTAGATGTTCTTAGTTTGGTGTTCCATACAAAAGTGGGCAGCTCTGAGGAACGAAGATTTGACTTTCCTGATATCTTGCTATTAGATTCTGGGATCTGTCATCGAGTCTATTCCAAAATTTTGTAATATCTATCATTATTTTTTACTGGTTACATTTTTGAGAAGATAATTGTGGGACTATACTTGTTACTTATCAAGTATCCAAAATCCTATGATTTTTCCACTTTACAGTGGATGTTTGTTATTATAAATCTTTCTGCCAAAACCCGCCTGAGCCCCACTGCCACGTGTGAGCTTTACGACAGCCGCCTGCCCGAGTTAGGCCCAAATGAATACACAGAGAGACTTGTATTAGTTACAATGCTGCTTGGCCAATGACTAGGATTCTCATCTGTTGGCTCAGTCTCAATTATCATACATCTATATATCTTATAAGACTTATCTTATCGGACGCCTTATTGGCGTCCCTCCTAGCTGGTGGATCACATCATGCCGCTGGAGCAGGAGCCGAGGGGAAAAGAGGGCCCTTCCTGTTTCTCTTTCACTTAAATATGAGTCTCCTTGCTATGTCACTTCCTGCCTGGATCAGCACTTCTCTACTACATTTCCCAGAATCCTCTTTGACTCCTAGTTCTGTCTAACTTGCTGTCTCATTGGCCAAACAGTATTTTATTCAATAATCAATAAGATAAACATACACAGTAGTACATTCCCCATCAGATGTTAGTGATGATAATGATACTAATAAACTTAGCCTTGTGCTGTATTATGAAATAAAAACAATAGAATGCTCCTAGTCACTTACATTGCTCTGGCATGTAAGTGGAATCCACTAAGGTGCTATCTTGTTTTCTTTTCAATGTGATCAATGTGACTGTACTAAAGGATTTTGAGGTTGAGTACCATAGTCTGGCATGATGGTTCTGATGCAATCCCAGCATTCAAAAGGCAGAGAGAGGAAGATTGCTATGCATCTGAGGCCAAGCTTAGTTACAGTGTAACACCCTGTTTTGTTTTGCTTTTAAAGGGGAATATGCTAGGTTTTGGATGAGGTAGGTGGTTCAAGGGGACACTGTAAGGGATTACTGGGGAATAAGGAGTTTATTGAGGAACCGTACTATTGTAAATAGACAGAGAGACAGAGAGCACAGTGGGTGTTCCCAGGAGAGTTCAGGCCCCAGTACCAGAGAAGATTGAATTGAGGGATTCTGGAGAGCATCAGGATTCCTGTGGTAGAAGAACACGACTTTTCTTATATGCTTTTAGGATGGGGGTAAGTTCACAGCAGAAGCCTGCAGTCAGGATCTCAAATTTCCAGGCAGGAAACAGGACAGATGCCTACAGGACAGTAATTCTATCATGGGTATTCACTTAGGTTAGTGTGGCACCTACAAGGCAGCTACTGGGGATTCACTTTGAGTAGAGCACCATTGTGTCTCTATCTGTGACAGTAGAAAGGCAGTTACAGGGCAACATGTAGATTGGAGATTCTAGTATTACATGCTGGCAGAGTTTGCATCAGCCACTCCTGAACATCACCATGCTGTGTTTTAAGAATTCGAATGCCTGGGGCTGGAGAGATTGATTATCAGTTAGCAGCACTGACTATTCTTCCACAGGTCCTGGGTTCAATTCTTAGCACCCACATGGCAGCTAATAGACTGTAACTCCAAGAGCTGGCACCCTCACATAGACATACATGCAGAAAAAAATACTATTGCAAATAAAAACAAATAAATTACTTTAAAAGAAGAATTTAATACCTGTAATATAAAATCACAGATAATTTTTGGAAAATTATACATTTGTTCAAGAAAAAAATTCTAACTTCATAGCTCTCCAGTGTTCTTTTTGGTTAGTATTTCTTCCATAACTGTATTTCATGGAAAATCCTTTCCTCTGTTTGAAATAAATGCCAATGGGTATTGTGCACAGTTAGAATCACACACATTTGTGGTACTGCTCAATGACAGTGTGGCCAGTGCTGTGTACTCCTGGCCACCTTCATTCTTTTCACTGAGGTTAGAGGCTGATGGCAGACTTGAAGCACAAAGTCAAATCTTTGCACAAAGATGGGAGTGGAATTGTGTTTGCAGAGAAAGGTCATGAAGATCTAGATGGCTGTCTGAGAATTTTATGTTTTTAATTTCCAAGAAGGCCTTAGGAAGAAAAAGGGTGTAAAAGACAGAGACACAGAGCTCATTCCTCTGTGTGATATTTTGATTGTGTTTTGACAAATAAAGCTTTCATGGAATCAGAGGGCAGAGCCTGCCACTAGCTGACCATAGAGATTTAGAGGACTGTAGACAGAGAGGAGACAGGAAGTATTAAGGCTGGGCTGAGAGAGGATCTCATCCCTTTTGGATAGAGGAATGGAAGAGGTAGGAAGCAACTGGTGGTTGCTCCCTGTTCTCTGATCTTTCAGGTTCTTACCCCAGTATTTGACTCCTGATTTTTTATTGATAAATATTAATTGTATTACAAATTCAACCTGTATTTGCCAGTTTGAGGTAAGAATACTGCCTGGAGTTGGAGACTATCCTGAACACTAGTGAGTTTTAACCCAGTCTGGGATATCAAGTAAAACTCTGCCTTGAAAACAAAACTAAACAAAAGCTCTAAAGAATTTTACATACTTATTGACTATTGAGAAGAATGAGAACATCAAAACATTGATTGTCAGCCATTGTGTCCACAGCAAGAACAACAGTTCAGGCTCTTGACCTCATCAAGATGTAAAGGATGGGTAGGGGTGTAGCCCAGGGATGGAGCACTAGCCCAGCATTCATCAGGTCCTGGGTTCAATCCCTGAAATACAACGATCAAACTAAAACAACAAAAGCAAAAGCCCATGGTCTCAGCACTGGGGAGGCTGAGCGAATTGGAGCTCAGACAGAAGTTGGGCTCGGGTGTACTGTGAGAGCCTGTCTCTAAAGAATAAGAAAAGAGGAGGAGACAAGTATGTTAAACAAAACTCAAACTACAGTGTCATATCTGCTGTCACTACCTATGCCATATTTTAGTAGATAGCAGAATATAAGGAACAAATGAGATAGGAGTACATGAGCAGGGCTGAGACTGAAAATGGTGACTGCTCATTGTTCCCGTACACAACTTTCCCTTTTAGAAAGATTCTCTTGTATCTCAGGCTGTTGGCATCAAAGTCCCCTGTTGCTCAGAATGGCTTTTGAGCTCCTGATCCTCCTGCTGCCAACTCCAAGTCATGGGATCCTGTGGTGGTTTGAACAAGAATGGCCTCCATAGGTTCTATCTTTGAATACTTGGTTCCCAATTAGTGGGACTGTTTGGGACAGATTTGGAGGTGTGGCATTATTGGAATATATGTGAAATGAGTGTGAGCTTTGAGATTTCAATACATTTTGGCTATTCCATATCGAAAAATTTTAAAGGTCTTGCTTTAAATTTTCTCTCAGAGGCAGAGGCAGGTGGATCTCTGTGAGTTCGAGACCAGCCTGGTCTACAAGAGCTAGTTCCAGGACAGCCTCCAAAGCCACAGAGAAACCCTGTCTCGAAAAACCAAAAAAAAAAAAAAATTTTTTTTTCTCTCAGGATTCAAAAAAAAGGAACTACAAAAAAATCTGAGGGAAAAGGTATCTATTCACAACATGATCTTTCTATCCATGTCTCTTTCTTCTCTCTTTCTCATTTCTCCCCAGTTCTTGGGGGTATAGGTATATATATATACTTTTGCAACAGTAATTTTTTTTTCTTTTGCAATAAAATGTTAGGCTTGAGTTTCTTAGGGTCAACAAGGCAGATAAGATTTACGCACAGACTAATAAACTAAAACTGGTAGAAGAAACTTTTAGCATCAATTGCTTAGGGCTGTAGGTCAAAGAGAGGGTCTAAGTTTAATTTGTACAAGAAACAAAAACGACCCCTTCCAGTGCTCTGGCCTCAGTTGTAGCACAGGCCTTTAGGAAAGTTTACTTTTCCCTGAGGATGAGCAAATGGGCTGATTATGTTGGTTGTATCTTTCCAGGGGAAGCAGGAAGGAACAGTAAAACTCTGAGCTAAAATCTTGAGTTAATAAAACAAGAAGTTTGAGAATCGTTTAGTGCAGGGTTATCGCTTCTCTATCTGCCAGTGAGGTAAAACCAGGGCATGCTTATTTTTCTATCCATCTAGGCAGCTGTGAATCAACAACTTTGGGCATGTAGTATTTCTATATCCTTGGATATCTGGAAATATCTTACATGGTATGCTTTTGATGGGCCTTAAACACTGACCAAATACCTGTTAATAAGGATAATTTCAGGAAGGCATATCTCTGCAATTTCATAGGAGCAGGGAACAAGGACCTGATGGTGGGAAACAGGTCTCATACATAGCTAAGGAATGTAATCAGTAAATTAGAACCTGTTAGTGGAGAACAGATTTTACACATAGCTAGGGAATGTAATCAATAAATTACAAATGCATGGGAGAAATTGTTCCCAGTAAATGATCAGATAGTGCTAAACTACAGGAAGTAAATCCCAAGTTTGTAGCTGAAAGGAATAAGCTACAGGAAGAAACTACAGCAAGAAACAGCCACTTAATTCACAAGACTATAATGCCAAATGCAGCTTTTGTACTGGTTAAATCCCCTTAATTCTTCTGAGTTGTCTCATGATATGATAGCTGTATAATTAATGTATGATCTTGTGGCTTGTAACAATTTCCAGTGTCTCAGGTTTGTGTCTCAAGGGTGACCTCTTACCTTCTGCACCAGCACCATGCCTTCCTGTTTGCTGCCATGCTCCCCACTGTGATGGTCATGACCTCTAACCTTTTGAAACTGTAAACCCCAAATCAAACACTGTCTTAATAAGGTGCCTTAGTTATGGTGTTCGTTATAGCAATAGAACAGTAGTTAAGATAGACTACAATCATGTGTCGTCATATCCAGGTTTGTGCGGAGCTGAGAATCCACCCCAGGGCTCCAGAATGCTAGGCACGTACTGTGCTAATTGTACCTCATTCCCAGCTCTTAACATTTTCAGCTTCTAATTCAGGGGATGCGGAGGCAATATCAGAAGTCTTTAATAGAAATACTAACTCACGTGGGGACTCCTGAGATATTCCGGTAAGGGATTCCTGGAAGGGATGCAATGAATGTATCACATCAGCACTGTGAAGAGGACTTGTCTGTTCAGCAACAGAAGATATAATCTGTGGGACAGCACTGGGCAGCTGGAGAGCCCTCTGCACTTGCTAGTCTCACTGTTGTGAGTGTGGGGAAGTGTTTCTGCATGGCTCTGCACAGGAAACCTTCCTATCCTGTCTCTGCTGGGTGGGAAATTTTGATTGTGCAGCAGCTACCCTGAATGCAGCTTCCTTCCCGTTCTCATCCTGTAAGTGCCCAAGTCCATCTCCAGAGGAACACTGCAGGTCTCTGTCCCTCCCCTTGTTATTCCTTCCCTTTGGGCCACATCTGCCACCCAAAGCAAAACCCAGCCATGTGCTCAGGTGCAAGAGAGTTCACGGAGAAGGCTTTCTTTCCACAAGGGGCAGCTTTCCGGAGGGTCAGGATCTTTTAGGGTGATTGCGACAAGAACCCGAATAGGTGACATAACAAGTTCCTGTGGCACTGAAAAATGTCCCAAGCTCCTGGAATGGCATTGCTGGCGCAAGGCGACTGGCTCCCTCTGGTGTTAGAATCTCAGATAACATGCTCGCACCCCATTGGCTGGGAGCTCCAAAGTTCCTCTTTGTTCCAGCCCTCAAAATCTTGACTTTCATTTCTCTCCTGGCTCTCGTGAGGACTCTTCCGCCCTTGTTTGCTGCCCGACATTCTCTTCTCTCCACAGGTTCAGGATCACTTGGTTGATGTCTGAGGGTGTGAGAACAAATTTAGAGGGCAGAGTTTGGAAGAATTCTGAATATACTGTCATGGCTCTGGTGAGTTAAATCCAAACTGAGAAGGGGCGGGGAAAGAGGGACTGCTGGCTTCCTGCTGCGTGGAGGAGCCAAGTGGAGGCGTGGCCTTGAGGAAAGACAGGGTTCAAGGTCTGGAGAGGTCCAGGTTTTTCTGTAGATGGAGAACACTATCTTCTTTCCTAATGTGTTATTTTGCGATTTACCAAGAATTTCCTTTTTCCAAGACAGACTCTGCTGTTTGTGTCACACCTCCCCCACTGACAGAGTAAAGACAGAGTGGTGTTTGAAAACAGTTTAAGGTCTCACTTTGTAATGGTGTAATGATTCTATGGGTTCGTTCCCTTTGCTTTAGTCTCTGTGATTAGAAGTCCCGCTCTTCCTGAAGACTTTTTTGTAAAATTTGTTTTATTTAAAATAGAAATAAGCCTGCTTCACATGTCAATCCCAGCTTTCTCTCCCTCTCCTCCTCTCCCACCGCCCATCAATGCCCTAACCCATCCCCCCTCCGCTCCCCAGGGAGGGTTAAGCCCTCTATGGGGAATCCCCAAAGTCTGTCATATCATCTGAGGCAGGGCCTAGGCCCTCCTCTATGTGTCCAGGCTGAGAGAGCATCCCTCCACATGAAATGGGCTCTTCCTGAAGACTCTTACACATTTACTTGTCCTATCAAACAGTCTCAAGTCTGTAGGGAATTGTTAATATTACTTAAAAGTCATTACATTTGCCTGCCTTTCCCTTGGTCCATGTGTACCATGCCTAAATGAAATTCGGGCTAGACTACTAATTCCAACTACAAAGATAGCTGATTCAGTAAGACCCAAAGTCCAAGACCTGCTGAGGGACCTAATAAGACCATTTCCAAAGAAAAGAAAAAAGAAAATACCCAAATGATCTTGCTTATTGGGGTGCAGTTAGTGTGGTGGGGGTGGCACTTTGAAGTTTGCACTAGTCCCAGGATTCTATCCCAAGGAAAGAGACAGAGAAAGAGGTGACAGGGAAGAGAGAGTATGCATGAGAACACTGGGAGAGCACACTCTCTAGAAGTCACAGCTTTTCTGTTTCATTGGGACATGTTACCCTTATATAGCCAGGATAACTTCATGTAACCGCCCTGTGTCAACATCGAAGTCTTTTGGTTACCAGTCCCTCAGACCTCTCAGACTTGAGAGAGAAAACTTAGAGCAGGCGTAGGAGTTAGAAAAAAAAAATCTAAGGGTGAAATGAATTCTTCACTATGTACTTTAACGAACCAGTTTCTTTACTGTCCTGTGATCCTCCAAAGTTTCCAGTTTATATACACATACAGACACTATCAGAATTCTCTGGCAATAGCAAGGTTACAGGACCTATATTTTTCTGGGTCATAAGAACAGATAAAGAATCAAGCTTGGATGTGCCACCCCTATCTTGAAAGTCCTGAATGTGACCCATATGAGGGACTCCTATCCTGACTAAATGTCCTGATAAATAGAAGATTATTGTAGGGAGCTGGCTTCTGAGTCTATCTCAGGGATTGGAGCAGAGATTAGACTGTGGCAACCAAGGTCGTTGACTGCATGACAAAATTTCTCACCGGAGGTCGAAGAGAGTGGGGGTAAGTGACCCACTAAGCAAAAGAACAAGGCAGACTTTTCAATGTCCATAGTCCTTGTGGGACAAATAGATCCAGTTATGAAGTATGTCCCAGTATATGTTCTATATATCAAAATGGTATAGCTAAATGAAAAGTCATCTGCCTGACTATCCACAGATATATGTGCTCATAAGTTTGAGATACAATCATGAGATTACATATACACATGAGATTACACACAACAATGCAGGTATTGGGGGACACCAAGCTGCTTTAGCAAAAGTGAACAATGGCTTTCAGAGTCGATGGTCCTGCAGATCTTGTCTGAACATGATTAACCTCCATCCAGATAGTCACTCCTCTGGTGGGTTGACATCTGAACACTAGTCACTTGCTATAACTCTCATGGCCCCTGACATGTTACCCTCCCCAGACACTGGATTACAGGTGGACATTGCAGCCCCAGAACTTTTCTATCTTTCAAGGATAGCAAAGCTCCTGATGGATTTAATGGTGTGAAGACTGAAAGATGTCTGCTGTTGGAAGATCTTGAGAGCCATGAAAGAAAGGACAGGGGTCAGGGAATCTCAGCTTCATCCAAGGCAATGTAGACACCAGAGGACACAGGACAGGTCTCTGTGTCCACATTGACTTCCAGGATTGTCATGGGCCCCATCCTCTTACCCTTTGCTCTCTTCTGCTCTTTTTTTTTTCCCCCCCCGAGATAGGGTTTCTCTGTGGGTTTGGAGACTGTCCTAGAACTAGCTCTTGTAGATCAGACCAGGCTGGTCTTGAACTCACAGAGATCCGCCTGCCTCTGCCTCTGCTGGGATTAAAGGCGTGTGCCACCACTGCCCGGTCTTTCCTGCTCCTAATCAGTTGTGGACACCTCTCTTCTGAACTTAGAAATTGACTTCTTTTACCACCATCTATTATGAGCTATTACAATGCACACATTAAAGTTGTCCAGTTTTTAAATTTGCCAACATCTAGGGAGTACATATTAAGTTGTTCCAGATAATACTACTTAGTAAATGAACCTTGGGACAATTTCTTTGCCCAGCCTATTTGGAAAAAGTTCTGTTTCTCTTATGACATCAATACCTTGAAGTTTCATCAACCTTAAACAGTTTCACCTGCAACTTGATATGCTATGGCTGGTTGATACCCATGGGAGTCCTGTCCTTTTCTGAAGAGAACTGGTGGAGGAGTTGGTGGGAGGGGAAAGGTTGAAGGTAGGACTGGGAAGAGAGGAGGGAGGGAAATTTGTAGTCAGGATGTAAAAACCAAGCAAAAATAAATGAATGAACTAATACAAAAAAGAGAAAGAGTTCAAATCCACCAGGAAAAGACAAAAAAACTACTAAGTTATAATTAAATGAATTTATTAATTACTGCTAGTAGGTCAACTACAGCCTTAAAGAGAAGTCAAAGACTTGTCTCACAGAAGAGACTGGAGGAAGTGTTTTTTTAGGTGGGCAGCACATTTGTATCCTTTGCATGGAATGTGTATCTGAGTGAGAAACTGCTTGTACTCCCCTCAACTATGAGAATTGCTCTTACTCCCTTACACACAGCAGGAAGTGGGTCACAAAAGCCAGAGGAAACAGTTAATTATCTCATAGCTTTTACAATTTGGGGGAGGATAGCAAGGAGTGAGAGTTGCCAGGAGCTTCTTTTAGGAATTTAGAATGGGTTTTCCTTAGCCATCCTATCACAAAAGAAACAAGCTGTCTGCAGCCTTATTGTTTGAATTGAACAAACCTAGTTATCCTTCCTTGTTGTCTTTTTAAAAAAAGATTCATTCTTCTGGAATGGGGGCTCATTTGAAAGATGTTTTATCAATCTAGTGCAATGGAAACTGTAAGTATTGGATGCCTGGTTATTGGGTATCCTCCACCACTGATGCAATAAGCCAATCAAGCCAAATTAACAATTCAGGTTTAATAAATAGGGTGAAGCAACACCCTAGTGACTCTCAGGAAGGCAGGAGGGAAAGTATGTGGCAGGTCTGAGGACCAGGTCTTAAATACCTATAGGCATGGCCTTGAGCAGCCCTGAGGGAGGGGTTGACTCTTGTTGGGCTTTCTAAGGAGCAGAATATGGAGATAGCAGCTCCAGGGGAGGGGCCACTGAAGGCGGGGTTTGTAATGGGAGGAGTGAGACCTGAGCATGGAATGGAGCCCTGAGCTAGAGATCCCAACAGAAACTGCTTAAGATATATTAAAGCAATCCTAATATTAAAGCAACCCTAATGAGGTTTCCGATTAATGGGATATGGAGTTGCAACTCCCAATCTCTTGTCACCAAACAAACTTCCAGTGGTGGGACTTGGTTGCATTCATTGAGTTCTTGGCCAGGGGGGTCACATGAAAATACCCCCCAAACCCAGGCTGTTGATAAGACAAAGGGTTGCCCTCTAGAAACTGACAGTAGAATGTCATTGCCTAGCACAACAGCCACAGAATTCATTGAACATGAAGAAATTGAGCTGGTTAGTACATGGACCCTTCACTCCTACATTCTAGTCTCTTTGGTGCAGGAAGGTTCTCTGCAGGCGACCAAAACAAAAATAAATACCAACTAAGTCACAAAATCTTTACCTACAGTCTGTCTTGCCTGCAAACTCTGCTATGGCAAGGGTGGCACAGAACTTGTGGCAGTAGCCAACCAATGTTAGATTTGACTTAGGCCCACTCCACCAGAAGAAACCCATACCTGACACTGCAAGGGTAACCAAGAAGCAGAGACTAGGTATCCCAGATACCTAGGGTAAAAACCAAACACTATTGATCTTAAAAGAAAAAAGAAAAATACAAAACAAGCAAACACAGTTTCATTTTGTTTTCAGTTGTGTATTTGTGAGTCTGCCTGTGTGTATACACATTTGAAAGGATGGTTGGGATGGTGATAGCTGGTGGATTCCCTGAAGCTGGAGTCACAAGTAGCTGTGAGCTGCTTCATGCAGGTGCCGGGAGATGAACTAGCATCTTTTGCAAGAGCAAAAGCACTGTTAACCCACTGAGCCCTTTCTGCAGCCTTAGATAGTGTGGATTTTTATACATTCATTCATTTATTTGTTTTAGTGTTGTTTTATGTGTATTGGTGCCTTATCTGGATATATGTCTGTGCACCATTTAAATGTCTGGTGCCCACAGATGCCAGAATAGGGTGTCTGATACCCTGGAATTTTAGTTACAAACAGTTTGACTCATCTTGTCGGTGCGGAGAACAGAACAGAGGTCCTCTGGAAGAGCAACCAGTGCTCTAAACCCATGACAGCCTGACTAGCTCTTAGTATAGACATTGTAACAATGTGCAAATCCATGACTACAGGCATCTTTATATATAACTGTATCATCTTGGATTTCTTTCAGTACTTTTAAAGTTTTTGTGTGCAGGTATTTCATCTGGCAGTAATTACTTTTCTTAATCATTCATTTATTCTTGGTTTTGATGGTTTTATAAGTATAATAGTTCTTTGTCTTTCTTTTTATTAGATTTATTGACTCATTTCTTTTCATTTTATGTCTATGTGTGTTTTTCCTGTATGTGTATCTCTGCTGCATGTGGATACAGTGCCGTCAGAGGCAACAAGAGAGAGATTTACTGGAACTTGAGTTATAGGTGCCATTGAGCAGCCATCTGAGGTCTGGACATGGAGCCCAGGCTCTTTGTGACAACATGTAGTTCTCAACCACTGAGCCATCCCTCTAGTCCTGTCACCACATTTAAATGTAACACTGTTTTGCTAGAGAGTCTTGAACTTGCCATCCTCTGGCATCGGCTTCCCAAGAAGCCATGGTTAGAGGCCAGCACCAATAGGCCCAGCTTCTTAGTTTCCTTTCAGGTCCTTCACTATCTATGACTTTTTTTTTATACTATTATATGTGAGTCTCTTACTGAGCTTACTGCCTTTTCTTTCATCTGGAAAACAAATGTGACCTTGTGGTGGTGGTGGCACAAGCCTTTAATCCAAACACTCAGGAAGCAGAGAGAGGTGGAACTCCTGGAGTTCAAGGCCAGTCTACTCTACACAGTAAGTTTCAGGACAGCCTGAACTACACAAAGAAACCCTGTCTTGAAAAACCAAAAAAGAAAAAAAAAAGTCTAATATGCACAAGTTTATTTATTTTTCCAGGCTTCTTGTGTTGCTGGTACTGTATCTGGCCCTGCTATGTTCCCTAGAAATGACAACAACAAGCACCATTGTTTTATGCATAATTTTATAGAAAAGGCTTTCCATTGCTTTAAATTTGTTATGAGATTAGCAGTGGGCTTTTCACTATGGTTTAAAATAAGGAAATTTATGTCTATACCTAAACACATGTAGAATTTTTATTCCTGAAATAATGGTTCGTATTGTCAAATAGTTTGATGCAAGGAATGGGCAGAGTTTCTTATCTTCCACTTGCTAATGAGGTGTAGGTCACCCATTGCTTTTGCATACTGAACTAATATTGTCTGTTATTGGGGAAAATTAGTTTAATTTGAATGATTAGTATGATTTTTGGTGTGGTTTTGAACTCATTATTTTGCTGGTATTCATTCATGGAGTATTCCATCAATGTCTTTGCCAAATTTCTAGATCAAGATAAATTCTCAACATTTATAGACACATATTGCTCAGAACCCGCAGTGGTTGGAAGCATAATTCCACACATTCAGTGTTCTGGGTATCAATTCTCTTCTGGCTGTCATCTCTTTTTCCTTTGGTAAACTTATGGGGTAGAGTAGGGACCTCCACAAAAAGACTTTAAAGGGATGGTTTTCATTCCCTTTCAGTGTAGTAAGACAAATGAATCTTGTAAGTGACCATCTCTATACATCTAGTGCAGGGCTTAACTATGTGTGTGCAAACACATATATTGTCATTTATTAAATGACAATAAGAGGAATCATTGCCTATGTGTCTCAGGAGATGGGACTCCAGGGCAGCACCAGCTGTTTCAGGTCAGAGACTTGTAAGGAGAGGATCAGAGGCAGTCACACTGACTGGTGCTGATGAAGGAGGAAGTACAGTGGTGGAGATATGAGTAGCTTGATGCTTTTAACACTGAAGATGTGATGTTGTCCTGGGAAAGAAAGGGAAGGATAGAAGGTAGGTTACACAAGACTGTTGGAGGAAGACACTGCCTTTCTGCTCCTCAGTAAAAGTAAATAATAATTCTGCATCTGAAATTTGTAGTAGAGCACTTGAATGTATGACAAAATGCTCCCATGGCTATGTCACTAAACTTCTTTCCATATTTCTCTCCTTTGTTTTTTAGCTTATCACCAAGGGCCATTCATTCTTCTCTGCACAGTGTCCATGATCATTTTCCCTTTCTTACTTGTCCTTCTTTTCCTCATCCCAATCACACAGGTACATGAGTAGAAGTGTCAGGAGTCAGACCAGGCAGAAACAGAATCACAGCAACAATGGCCTCATCAGTTCTGGAGATAATCAAGGAGGAGGTGACCTGTCCTATCTGCCTGGACCTCATGGTGGAACCTGTGAGTACAGATTGTGGTCACAGCTTTTGCCGAGCCTGCATCACACTGAACTATGAATCCATCAAAGGCAAAGAAGAAGAGGGCATCTGCCCTGTGTGTGGAGTTACTTACCTGTTTGGGCATCTGAGACCTAATCGGCATGTGGCCAACATAGTGGAGAGTCTACTGGGGTTCAAGTCCAACCCAGAGGAGGAGCAGAAGGTCAATGTCTGTGTACAACATGGAGAGAAACTTCAGCTCTTCTGTGAGAAGGACATGGTGGCCATCTGCTGGCTTTGTGAGAGATCCAAGGATCACCGTGGTCACCAAACAGCTCTCATTGAAGAGGTGGCCCATAAGTACAAGGTAAGAAGTGGGAGGGTGTGGGACACAGAGCAGGAGACAGTAATAGATAGGAAATCTCCACTTGGTGTGACAGATCAATTACCTGGACATCATAGACTTAAGGGTTGATATATCATTCCATCCTTTCTTACATTTAGAATCCTAAAAGGACATTATAATTTATTCCATTTAATCATATGAAAATCTGCCTGAACTACAAATACTAGGATTGAAAAAATGTCATGGACTTAATTTTGTGTATGGCAACAGATATGGATCTATCTGCAATTTTCTACATGTCAGCTTCAAGTTATGCCAGGACCATTTGTTGAAGATGCATCTTTTTTCCATTTTATAATTTTATCTTCTTTGTCAAAAATCAGGTGTTCATAGGTTGTGGATTAATATCAGGGTCTTCAATTTGATCCCATTGGTCTACTTGTCTGTTTCTGTGCCAGTACCAAGCTGTTTTCGTTATGATAGCTCTATAGTAGATCTTGAAGTCCTCAGGGATGTTGATGTCCTCAGATGACCTTTTATGGTACAGGGTTGTTTTGTCTATCCTGGGTTTTCTGTTGTTCCATATAAAGTTCAGTATTGTTCTTTCAAGATCTGTGAATAACTGTGCTGGGATTTTGATGGGGATTGTAAAGCGTAAGTCCAAATGGGTCAAAGGCTTTAACATAAATTCAACCACACTGAACCTCTTAGAAGGAAAAGTGGGAAGTGTCCTTGAATTCATTGGCACAGGATACCACTTCCTGAACAGAACACCAGTAGCACATGCACTGAAATTGACAATTGATAAATGGGACCTCCTGAAACTGAGAAGCTTCTGTAAGGCAAGGGACACAGTCAAAAAGACAAAACAGCAGCCTGCAGGATAGGAAAAGATCTTCACCAACTCCACATCTGACAGAGGGCTGATTTCCAAAATGTACAAAGAACTCAAGAAGCTAGTCACAAAATCACCAGAAAATACAATTAAAAAATGGGTTGTAACTTTGGAAATCAGTATGGTGACTCCTCAAGAAAATGGGAATCAGTCTACCACAAGATGCAGCAATTCCACTCTTAATCATATACCCCAAAGAAGCACATTAATATAACAAGTACATCTGTTCAACGATGTTCATAGCAGCAGTATTTATAATAGCCAGAGACAGGAAGCAGCCTAGATGCCCCTCGACTGAAGAATGGATAGAGAAAATGTGGTACATTTACACAATGGAGTGCTAATCAGCAGAAAAAAACAAAAACAAAACAAAAACTAAAACAATGGAATCTTGAAATTTGCAGGAAAATGAATGGAACTAGAAGGAACCATTCTGAGTGAGTTAACCCAATCACAAAAAGGCAAACATGGTATGTACTCACTCATATGTGGATTTTCAGACATAGAGTAAAGGATTACCAGTCTACAATCCACACTGCCAGAGAAGCTAGTAAACAAGGAGGACCCTAAGAGAGACATACATTGTCCCCTGGAGAAGGGGAAAGGGTCAAGATCTCCTGAGCAAATTGGGAGCACGGGAAGAGGGGGGAGGGAGCTAGGAGAATGAGAAGGGAAGAAGATGAGGGATACGGAGGACATGAGGGAGCAGAAAGTTTGAGTCAGGGGAAGAATAGAAGGTAACAAGAATGGAGATACCGTAATAGAGGGAGACATTTTAGGTTTACAGAGAAACCAGGCACTAGGGAAATGTCTGGAGACTTGCAAAGATGACACCAGCTAACAATCTAAGCAACAGAGGAGAGGCTACCTTACATGTCCTCCCCTGATAATGAGATTGATGACTGACTTATATACCACCAGATAGCCCTCATCCAGAAGCTGGTGGAAGTAGAAGCAGACACCCACAGCTAATCACTGAACTGAGCTGGAATCCAGATTCAGAGGACAAGTGAAGAGAAAAAGAGTCCAAACCAGGCTGGTGAAACCCACAGAAACAGCTGACCTGAATATCATGGAACTCTTTCTCCCCAGACTGATAGCTGGGATACCAGCATGGGACTGATCCAGAGCCTAGGAACATGGGCTTTAGTGAGGAAACCTCAGAAATCTACAGGACCTCCTGTAGTAGATCGTTACTTATCTCGAGCATAGGTGTGGACTCTGTGAGCCCATTCCACATAGAGGAATACTCCCTGAGCCAAGGCACACGGGGGCGGGGGTTGGGCCTAGACCCTATCCCAAAGGATAGGATAGCCTCTGATGACACCCTATGGAAGGCCTCACTATCGGGGGGAGTAGAAAGGACATGTGATAGGTAGGGTTTTAGTTGGGGGGGGTGGTAGGGGAAGAGGGGCGGGAGAGGGAACTTGGATTGTCATATAAAACAATCTTGTTTCTAATTCAAATAAAAAATCTGTAACCCCCCCAAAAAAACCCCAAAAAATGGGGTGTTGATGAAAGTTTCTGTTCTGCTTAGTCCCACAGCCATTTAGCCCCAAATAAACACACAGAGACTTCCATTAATCGTTAAACTGTTTGGCTGATGGCTTAGGTGCCTTACTTGCTAGCTCTTTCTTAATTATTGACCCATTTCTATTAAACTGTGTATTGCCATGTGGCTGTGGATTACCTGTAATCTGGCATGTCACTCCTTTGGCAGCATGGTGTCTCTCCCTAGTAGTTGTTCTCTCTTTCCTCTCCCCATAATTCTCCTTGTCTCCTAGCTCTGCCTATACCTCCTGCCTAGCTACTGGCCAATCAGTGTTTTGTTCATCAGCCAATAAGAGAAACATATATACAGAAGGACATCCTCCATCATCTTCTCTTATCTGTCTTAATAAAAAGGTTTTAGCTTTAACATAGCAAAATTAAATATAATAAGACAGTTATCAAGTAAATACTATAGTTAATAATATTTAGTCCATTAACATTTGGCAAAATTTAAAGGAAATATTCTGGCATCTATCTTATCTTTGTGAGTCTAAAGTTTTATACATAACTTATCTTTTATCATAACCAAGGAAAATCATAATCATAACTGTTTTCCACTCGTCAAAGACATCAGAAGGATAGTATATAAACTCTAGAACTGACAGAGACATCTTGCTGCCTAGACATTCACCCAAAGTTCCTCTGTAACATTGGAGCATTCATCTTCAGCCCCTAGGCCATAGTATGTCTGGCAGACTTCCCTATGGAAATTTTAAATTGTCCACCTGTATTGGCAGTTTGTCAGTCATTTTTCTCTGTGTCCTGCAGAATATCTGGCAGATTCTTCCATGAAGCAGGAACCCTGCAGGACTGTCACATCTTATATTGGCAAGTTCAGCAGTCACTTTCTTGTGGGTCCTGCATGTACAGTTTGTACATCATATAGTCAAACAGTCCAAGCAAGAGCAGTTTCTTTCTTTCTTTTCTTTAAGTGTATTTTTTATTTCCTTTTAAAATTTTGAATTAGAAACAATCTTATTTTGCATGTCAGTTCCAGTTCTCTCTTCCTCCCCACCTGCCCTGCTCTCCCCACCCGTTGTTTCATACCCTTTCTGCTCCCCAGGGAGGGTGAGGCCTTCCATGGGAGATCTTCAAAGTCTGACAAGAACAGTTCCTTGCCCAAATAGCCAGTCTCGCCATATTGAAAGCAAACTCCAATTGGGTCATAACTTCTGTTAGTTCCTTTGTCTCTTTGTTAAGTTTATGTCTGAGGGTCCTGTCCAGTAGTGAGAGTGGGGTGTTGAAGTTTCCCACTATAACTGTGTGAGGTCTTATTTGTGATTTGAGTTTTAATCATGTTTCTTTTACCAATGTTGGTGCCTTTATATTTGGAGCATAGATGTTTAGAAATGAGACTTCTTCCTGATGGATTTTTCCTGTGATGAATAGGAAATGACCTTCTTCATCTCTTTTGATCGATTTTAGTTTGACATCTTATTTGTTAGATACTAGGATAGCTACCCCAGCTTGTTTCTTGGGTCCATTTGATTGGAATATCTTATCCCAACCCTTTACCCTCAGGTAATGTCTGTGTTTGAATTCAAGGTGTGTTTCTTGTATGCAGCAGAAGGATGGATCTCTTTTTGTATCCACTCTGTTACCCTGTGTATTTTTATAGGTGAGTTAAGGCCATTATTGTTGAGAAAAATTAAGGACCATTGAGTGCTTAATCTTGTTTTTGATTTGTTGTTGGTAGTGGTATTGTATGTGGATTTACCCTGCTTTTTCTTTTGCGTTTTGGTAAAGTGGGATTATCTATTGCCTATGTATTTGTGAGTGTAGTTAACTTCCTTAGGTTGGAGTTTTTCTTGCAGTACTTTCTGTAGGGCTGGATTAGTGGTTACATATTGTTTAAATCTGGTTGTGTCGTGGAATATCTTGTTTTCTCCATTTATAGTAATTGAAAGCTTTGCTGGGTATAGTAGTCTATAAAACTTTCCACCCAAACACAAAAGAATATACCATCTTTTCACCATCACGTGGAACCTTCTCTAAAATCGACCACATACTCGGCAATATAGCAAACCTCAACAGGTACAAAAAAATTGGAATAACCCGCTGTGTCCTATCAGACCACCATGCCTTAAAGTTAGAATTCAAAAACAACACAAATTGCAGAAAACCTACCAACTCATGGAACTTGAACAACATGCAATTGCAACATTCCTGGGTCAAGGAAGAAATAAAGAAAGAAATTAAAGACTTCCTAGAATTCAATGAAAATGAAGACACAACATACCCAAACTTATGGGACACTTTGAAAGCAGTACTAAGAGAAAAGTTCATAGCTCTAAGTGCTCACATGAAGAAACTTGAGAATAGTCACATCAGAGAGTTGACATCACAGCTGAAAGCTCTAGAACAAATGGAAGCAGATTCACCCTGGAACCAATACTTCTCAAATTGTTCCACACAATAGAAGCAGAAGGTTCATTGCTAAACCCTTTTTACAAGGCTACGATTACCTTGGTACCCAAGCTACACAAAGACACAACTAAGAGAACTACAGACCAATATCCCTCATGAACATTGATGCAAATATACTCAATAAAATACTGGCAAACAGAATCCAAGA